GGCATGCCATCAACTTCAAAAGTAGATCTTGGTTTAAAAAAGGTTGGGCACCCCTGCATTACGGGATCATACCTTGCCCTAACACCAACTTAAACTTGATCAACACCTTTGTCCTAAAACTGACAATTCCTCTTGTGGGGTCATGGCGGACAATCACCTCCACATGGTTCTGCAGGTGGGGACCAATGACCACCTCTTAGTACCTTTGCTCAGCTCTATTGTTTTTTGACCCGACTTATTTACCCTTGTGTCCAACTCTTCTGGTTCCTCAGGTGTGTTTCTGGTACCCTCCACACTTCCATTACAGTCTGTTGTGTTGATTAATGGTGGGGAATTTCCATTGGGAGAGGTAACGGAGAGCTTCTAAGAAAATAACAAAAATGTAACAATGACTGTATGTTATATTAGTCATTTGGATGTGATGTTTAGAAATCAAAAACCCTATTTCACAACTTTTAGAAGTAAAAAAATGTAAAAGTTTTAAGAATCAAATCTCTCAACCATCTTGTGATACATACTAATTACAAGCTAAAAACAGAAACATTGGTTACATACTGTAACCCCAGATTTTATGAATATAGGCATATTCTTTAAGGCTCTCACTAGCGCCAAACCTTTAGTCCACACCTACCTGCTATGTGGGCCCCAATCCAATCAGTATAAATAACAGCGAGACCAGATAATCAGCTCCCAAATAGCAATTTTTCTTCAGCCCTTTAGGAACCAGTGAGCCTCACAACTTAAAGTGCTATGCCTATATTTATAGAATCTGGGGTTACAATACATAACCAATTCTATTTCATAAAGGCTTCACCCTTTAAGGCTCTCGCTAGTGGGATAAAGGCGAAGCAGGATGAGTTCCATGCCTCACTGGGTCCAAATGGACCACAAGCCTAAGCCACCTGTTCTCACAAGGAGCCTCAACTCAGGCTCCACTGTGCGTTTTTGCTCACCTAGAAGCACCATGCGCAGCTAAACCACATAGATGAGAAACCACTGTGTTCAGGGCAGAGGCTGAATGACAGACCTGAGTCTATGAACAGCGGAGACAAACTAACAGTAACAATGAGTACAACAGACCAAAGGCTAACGGAGATAACAATCTTCAGTCATTTAGCTGTCATCCTCTCTGTCGTGGTGGACACCACAATGGAGAGGTCTGGGCAGAGGTTAAGACCAAACCGGCTGCTGAGGAAGAAGAGGACAAGTTATGAACAGTAACCTTCTAACAATGAATGGAGCAGGTGAACAACCCCCAAGGTGCCAGGAACCCAAAGGAAACAGCAGCTGACCCATGCATAATGCTGCAACATAACCATGCCTGCTTGTTTCTGTTTCTTCGTCATCTCTGGTCACAGAGAGAGTATGATCAACACAAATAATAGTAGAAGTCCCCAACCGAATAAACCTTCCCACTTGAGGTGGGAGGAGGTTGTCCAGGTGAGCTTAATGATCATTCTGTTAGAACTCTAAAAACAGAATGAGTCTTGGAGAAAGCACAAACATTGTGCAGGTAAAACCTGATAAACGAGCACGGAGATGACCAGGAAGCGGCCGTGCCATTGTCCTCCACTGTTATTCCTCCATGCAGCGCTGTGGAGGATGAGATCCCTTTGGTGGAGTGAGCTCTGAGCTTTTCTGGATGCTCCAATCCAGAAGAATTATAGACAGAGGGCAAGCAGCCCTGTAACCAGCATAGAGAACGCTGAGGTCATGTCCTCTGTATATTCCCTTTTTTCTTCTTTTTTTGTTTTTTAATGCAGAGAACTGTCAAACTATATGATGAAAATTGGTCTGACTTTGATTGATGTAAAGATCAGCATGCATTCTCATTTCTATAAAAATAAAATAAAATCCCCAATCACCTTATGATCTTTTAAAACTGAGCGGAAATTGCATTCGACATTACATTCTATCACACTAGCTTAACTTTCTGAAGCGCCGGTGTGGACATGTCCCCACCAACTTTGGGCACGAAGGGGACAGTCCCCACCAATAATTTCCGTATTCCCCCCCCCCCCCCCTTTTCTCTGATTTACTTTAGCCAAATGTAGCAGGGGTTGGGTGCAGCTGTCTGTGTTCAGAGCATTATCAGTCCGTGTTTTTTCCTTGCTCTCCCGCTGCCCTCAAGTCCCACCTTTCGGTAAAATGTTGTTGGATCTGTCGCTTTGGAGCATAATTATTATTTGATATAGGTTTCAGTGAAATTTAGCAGACTGGTTGTTTAAAAAAATTAGAGACCCCACCGAAAAAACCATTATTTAGACATACAGAGCTTTTTAAGCTAAAAAGGGCAACAGAGTGTACATTTATATACATCAAAAAAGCTGGGCTTCTCAGAGGACCATTACTCAGAATTACAGATTAAAATTAACACATATCTGTTTTCTTATTGAATAGAGAATCAGACTAGAGAGCTTCTTGATATCTTGAAAATGATTTTCTCTGGCATCATTATATTGGTAGACAGGTAAATCTGTTTTTAAGCAGAGCAGAGACACAATTAGGGAAAGCTGCAGATTTATAGGTGAAACAGATTTACTGGAATATGCAACATGCAATAAAATATATCCTCAAGTTTAAAAGAAAAAAATACGATATGCTATAATAAAACTCAACATATCTTTTTGTCTTTTGTAGCTCAGCAAGACTCAGAAATAGCTGTGCCAGCAACGCAGAGACAGCCCGACTCACAGGACACAGACTTAAAATTAAAATATTAGAAACCTGCAAGAATTAAAGCACAAATTATACAAATCAGTGTATAAATGATTTTTGAAATATAAGGTTCAATATATAGACTTTGGTTGTTAATGACATATGGCACAAATTTCTACATTTGATTTTGCTGCTTGTGAAGGAGGATAATGAGTGATGCAGCTTAAAGGGAAGTCATGCATGGATGGATGGATGGAATTAAAGTTGTGTCCATAGTAGGGATGCATGATATATTGATGTTGGCATCAGCATCGGCTGTTATTCTTCATTTTTTATACATTAATGTTTTTGAGTCCTTTATAAATAATGCACTTAATGCAGGCAAATACTGCCTATCCCTTGTGTTTGGCTTGGTAGATCTCAGCATGCCATCAACTTCAAAAGTAGATCTTGGTATAAAAAAGTTTGGGCACCCCTGGTCTAAAACTATAAATATCAGTGTACTGTGGTATTCTTGTGTTCTCAATGATAGGAAAGCATTCAACAAATATATGTTTCTGCTCATTTTTGGAAAATATAGGCCCTATTAAAAGTGTTCCGGTTGAGTAACTGTAGGTCCATCAGCCACTTTCCTTAGAGCATCCCTACTGATTTTCCTTTGCAAAAGTCAGCCGCTCATGCTCTGAACACCACGAGATAGAATAGGTTACCAGTTTTTAGTGGTGGAATCTGGAAATGGAGGCAAGATGAAGAAATCTACGCTGAAACAAACTAAACTCAGCTTTGGAAAGCCATCAAGGTCAGGGGAAAAGAAAGAGAGAAGGAGGTGAGTTCATTTTGCCAGTAAATATATAATTTAAAGCATTTGAATTTGTGATGGGGTGGGGGTTGTGGTGATATCTGGAAGGGATCCTCTCTATAACTGAATTGTAAAGTTTTGGAAGCTGGAATCTGAGGATGTTCTGTATCAGGATTTTTTTTTTTTTTTTTTGTCAAGTAAGATTTTTTGCAATATCGGTATTTGAAATATCCTGGTGACGACCTGGTGACAGCCCTGAGGGCAAGTATAGGCTACATTTCTGTCCATGAGCTTCAGATATATAGAGGGTAACCAGTCGTTCTGGTGAATGTTCTCAAGCTGCTGTCTGATTGTCAGCATGTGGAATCGTCTCTCCATTACCTTCTTTTTGAAGAGGGAGAGATCGAGAATGGGTCTAATTCTTCCTGTTCTTTTCGGACAAGGAATTAAAGCGAATAGAACCCTGTCCCCCCCCCCTTGGGAAACCCTGGATATAATGTATTTTTTCAGGAGTTCTGCGCTAATGGCTACGAATCAGGCTAGAGCCCCTGCCACTGTCACCTTCCTCAGAGATTCTCCAGGGGAAACGGATGGGGGATCGGAACAGAAAGGGCTGTGGGTACAGTGGGTACTGGTTGGAAATGGAGTTTCCTGCATGATTCCTGCGTGAATCACAATGTATTTCCTGAGGCCAGTTTTTTTTATTTCAAAAAGAACTGCAATGTACCCGGACAACCACCAGGTGGCACTTTTTTTTTTCCTCCTTAATCCAGGCTGTTAAGATGCTGTCTCTTAAGCAGGATTATTGGGGATCTTGGTGTGATATTGTACTATTTTATGATGTTTTTGATTAAAATAAAGTTAATGAATTAATTTACCATAGTGACTGCATTATCTTATTTCATGAAAATTGTTGCATACTGTATGGGCGCAGTTATAGAAACACCCTGCGATCTTATCTGAGAACTGTTTATTTCTATTTATCTCTATTATTTAATGAAAAATTATTATAATTAATCTTTTGGCAAAACAAATAACTGAATCAATAAAGGTCCGTGGATCATCCGTCCATTCGGGAGGGAGGGGGGTTCATGCAACGTCATTCCATCACCGGTATCTCGGTATCCAATCAGCTCACTGACTTGCGCATTGATCACAGCCATCTCTGACAACAGCATTGAAACACCACTATTTATCAAGACAGTCTGGCTGCAGCACCACAGCTGTCAGACCAGTGCAGGCGCCTGTCTCAGGCCACCTCCACCGTAGGGCCGGAAATAAACAAATTTAGCCACGCCCACCTCCCCCAAACCGACATCACCTGTTAGACGAAGAAGAAGGTTGTTGAACATGCGAGACTCCGCAAAAAATGGTAAGTTAATTTCTTACTTTTACCGCGAAGCAAAAGATGTCTGGCTTTCATATGCTTGTCAGCAATGTATCGCTGTAACGTTATATGTAAAGCACGTGTGGTTACTGAATGTTACAGTGTGTTGAAATACTGTACAGGTTTAATTGTTTGGAGGTGGTAAACAAACGCACAAGGTCACGAACAAGTATGCTTGGCTTCATAAAACCGTTTAACTTATCGTAGTTAGCGTAGTTTTTGTTATTTCTTATTTGCATTGCTTTAGATTTAACACAGAGTCAGGTTGATGCTCTGCTCGTTTCAGTTTACTGTAGACAAACAGACTGCGGTTTTGCAGCCAGACCTCTCTCGACTGCTCAGCATGCATCAAGTTGCAGGCCTCGGCTCAAACAAATTCTTACAGTTTAGCATTGTGTGAAGATGAGCTGTTGTCAACTGATAGGTTTGATAAATGCAATTTTAGTGCTCACAATTTTATATGTGAGCACTAATAGTTCTGTTGTCTGATTAAATGCAGCTGAATGTAAACCTTTAAAA